TTGCCTATTGAATTTAACTTGCTTTTACCTATTAGGGTACTAGGAGTGCAATAATTAAATTCTACATTTTTTGCAGTCATTTGGTATGTTACTGATTCTTGTTAATTGCAACTTACATACTGTACTGTAAGATAGAATTTCAGAATCCATTTTTTCCTTTCAATTCAAATCATCTTAAACTGTCATTTTTATGATTCCCTAGATTTGTTTCTTGGAGAGTCTTTTTTGTTGGTCTAGATTTTGTTCTTGATTTTTACAGTGTACTGATACTTTTTTTTTTAGGTTGAAATATGGTTGCATTGGTTTCAGGCCTTTTGGAATATGAGGATACTTACTGATATCCAAAGTGTCACAGACCATCCTGCACAAATGAGCACTATGTGTTTATGCTCTGTTGATGAAGGGAATGTGTGCGGTTGACAATTATAATGAGGTCAAATCTATGTAGCTTTGTGCACTTATTTGAGTACACTGGAGGTATGGGTGAGACCCCCTCTAAGTACACATGGAGACCTCTGGCTTTGAGACCTCCGCCATCCTCTGGGCACCAGCCGCACAGCAGGTCTCTGAAGGCTAGTTCTTCACTGCAGCCACCAAGTTGTGGTCCAGAGTGGTTTTCCTAATAGGCAGTTAACACTAAGAGTTAACAGATTTTTTCATTTTCCCAGAATCTTTTTAAGATCTCTTATAATCTTAGAACCCAGGTGTCTTTGCATTGTACACAGCAGGGATGATAGGGGTCATAATGGCTTTTCCCTCTAAAACTTTAGGTGTTGTGTATTTTTATTACAGAAATAACAAATGTAATACTACAAGAATCTAATTATGGAAAAGATCACCTTTCCCACACCCCTTTGGTGCCCACTCCCCATGGAAGCATGCAGTAACAACCTGGTTATATCCCACCGCAGTCGTGAAAACATAAACAGATAAATTTGTTTTTTAAGGTTCTTTTTTTTTTTAAACAAAGAAATGGGGTCATTCTATATACATTAAAAGTTGCCTTTTTAACTTAACAGAATATGAATAGCCAGTCCAGGTCAGTAGATAAACAGTCTTTTTAATGGCCTCTGAGCCTTTTAGTTCTGAAGGGTAAGTTCCCATTGGGGATGAAAGGGGGCCCCAAATATAAAAAGGCCTTGTCCCCTTAGAGCCCCATTCTCATGTAGCAATATGCAGACAGGTGCAGAATGTGTTAGTGATTAATGCTGCTAAGAGGCTGTGAAAAGCATGGAAAGGGAGAGGCTATATAGAGATTGAATGACTGGAGATGAAATGAGGGCATTGTCCTAACCTGAGTCTAGGTGTGAATGTAAGTGCAAAGGCCCTGAGGCCATAGCACGTTGGACCTGATTGAGGAAAGGAGGGGTAGTAAAGTCAGATTCAGGATGTCTGAGGTGGGCCCAGATGTTTTATTGTAAAGGCTCAATGGATGATTCTGATGTGCAGTCAGTTATAGGAACCACTCAGCCCTGAAATGGCACACCTGGATTTATGAAAAGACTTCAAGTCAGGATTAGTTAGAATCATTATCATGGCCTCCTGAGACTGAAAACCTACCAGTTTCAAAATATTGAATGCAACAACTATTTTAACAGATTTTTTTTCCTTTGGAATTATTCTCCTGAATGCTGGTTCTTTGGAAGATAGAAAATGAGGAGCCAAACTCTGAAAAAAATTGCCATGCAGTTATACAGCTTGATATCTTAATTTTACTCTGATAACATGGAATTAAGCATTCTCTTGAATTTCCTAAAAACCCACGATATTTGCCTTTTGTTGTTGTTTTAGTCCAAAGCATCACAAGGTGGTGGTCCTGAGCAACATGAAGCCTCAAGGAAGAATAAGAAAAAAGAAGAAAAGTCTAAATCAAAATATGAAGTCCTGACAGTTCAGGAGCCACCAAGGATTGAAGTACATATTTCTCCCCTTATGTTTTATAATAAATGGGTCTGTCTTACTAGAAATGTGCAGTCATACTGGTTTCCTAAGTGAAAATCTTCAACATTTTCATTAATAATCATCTTCTCAGTATTAAAGAAAATAGTCATCATCTATTTTCTTCATCTTATGTCTTTATTTTGGCATCTCAGCCCAGTGCCTTTCTCATAGCAGGCACTCAGTAAACTTTGGAGTGAATGAATGGTCTAGAGACAAAACAGTTGGTATTGAAATTTAAGTTTGTACCATAGCACTAATATTTACTCCTCAGTATCTTCTTCACCTGTTTTTTTCTCTTGCTTTGGCATGCTCACTTTTGCAGGGCCTCCTTTTCTATCCAGAAATTTTGTTATAATTGCTTCATAAGAGAAAGAAATATGAAATACCATAGAGCTGTCATAGGCCCTGGTCAAGAGAATATCATGGACTTGTGAAAGTGCTCTTTAAATTCTTGTCCTGTGGTACTCCAAGAATGTCCCTGTCCTCTAAGAGGCCTTCCTGAGGTCTGACCACGTTTCTTATGGGTCTGCCATACTAGACCCAGCCGGGTTCCTGGTGCCAGCAGAAGGGTCAGCGGTGCTGACCAGGCGTCCAGCTTAGTGTCAAGCCAGAGCTTTCCCACAAACCTGGGGTGGTTCCCAAGGCTCTTGGAATATTCCCTTGAGAATAGTGGGGTTGTGTTTCAAGATCTATGACTATGGCAGAGCATTATGGTTTGGGCCAATGAGTAATTCATATTTCTGCCCCCATTTCCCATGTAACTTCTCCAAGGCACCTAAAATGTTGACAGAAGCACATAAGACATTTTAAAATGATTTAAACATTGTTTAGAGGACTACTGCCCCTTTCTATTTTGTAGCCTCTGACCAGCACACATGATAGGATGCTTACATCTCCTGAGTCTGGATTGATGGTTTCCCTAATGAAAAGCATTGTTGAAGGATAGGTGCTTGAACACTCTTGTGCCATGGTAGTTAGGGGCAGTTCTGTGGACTGCTCGGGCGTACCTACATACTTGGGGCCCCCATTCTTGCTCTCTGGAATAGTAGATTAGAACTTTGACTTTGTTCTGAAGCCCTTATGTTACAGTTTTTTGGGCTATTTTATCTCATCTTTGAGCACTTTTGTGGAAACTTAAAGAAAATACGAGAAAGAAAAAGGGTTTACTTGGGCATATTTGATTCTCATGATTTATGAAGAGCTAAAAGGTATGTGGTTTACTTAGGATGCTGAGGAGTTTCCCAATCTGGCAGTTGCATCTGAAAGAAGAGACAGAGTAGAGTCACCAAAATTTCAATCTAAACAGCGGCCACAGGTAAATTTTAGATTGAAACCACAATTGATTTAGGCTTAACTCTTCTCGCTAAACTAAACTCTTGAGAAAAACTACTTTCCAGACCTCTTTGTATATGAAGACAGATGGTTTTGTTTTGTTGTTCACTGGAGAAAGAGAATCCAGTATGTCGAAACAAAATTACTCTTAAGCAAAAACACTTTGTCACTTTTGTAATAAGACTATTGGTAACTAGCACTGCTATTTCAGAAGGTAGGGGAACATATATTGCCTATGACACTTTGATTTAAAGAAAAAATTTTGATTCATTTTATTCAGGAAACAAGAATTCCTTTGCAAGGCAGTAATGTCTGACAGAAGGAAAATAAGAAAGCCATCAAAATTTCACTCTGAATAGTCAGAACAAGCCGAACTGATGATTCTCCTTGGGCTCTAGACCCACTTTAGATTCAAGAATGAACTTGCGGTTTATAATCCAGATGGAGAGCTTGTGTACTTTGGAGAACTTACGCATATTCATTGTCATTTTTGCCTTTTAAAGTGGGGTGATTATTTTCACATTTGTGAAAAGTAAAATTCTAAACCCTTGTGTGAATTAACTTTGCATTATGGTGTTATTATTTAGATACCTTCCACCCCAGTGGAAGTTCTCTATAGTCTACCTGTGCTGCACTTAGCACTTGCACCTCGACTTAAGCCCTCAGCCAGTCAGTCGGATTTTGGCATCGAGGAAGAGAACAGTGGGCAGGACAGCAAGAATGAAGGTGCTAAAGCACGTGTGACAACCCGCCCTTACAAAATCCAAATCACAACTGTTTGAGAAATAACATTTGTTTAGAGTATGTCGGACTTCGTGTCTATAAATTTAATATTTATCTGCTAGATGTGATTTGGACTTACGTAAATTTTTTGGCCATATCCCCATGATTTCATGGCAGGTAGTTATCTCATTTAGGCAGTTGGAGAATGAATAGTAGTGAGGCAATAATACTAACCATTTAGCCTCACATGCAAACTTTTGTAGCCAGAGACTTTTTATAAGCCTTGGTTTCTTGTCTGTAGATGTATACTGTTATTCACAGTGGAGATGTAGACATAATTGTAGGAGGTTTAATATAAACCCATTATTATGAAAGAAAAGAGGAAATAAGTAACCATGGTGATGAGATTGGCAGATAATGTAGGATTGATTGGGTTTTTTTAAATTATATTTTTAAATTTCAAGGTTTTTTAATAGTTTCTCATTCTGTTTCATTTTATCTTTAACATGGGGTTTTTTTGGTCATAAAATGAAAAGCACAGTTGGTAAAATATAGTATTATAAATAAACTTATGACTTTTGAACTTTTTAGAATAATTTTAAAAGCAGTGGAAAGAAGAGCCAAATTCCAGTACAGTTGGATCTGGGAGGAATGCTGACAGCACTGGAAAAGCAGCAGCATTCTCAGAATGCAAAGCACTCCTCCAAACCAGTGGTGTTCTCAGGTAAAGAGTCTTTTCATCTTATGATTGAAAGGCTTTTTCAGATAGACTTTTGTGACTGTTTTCTCTTGTAATCAGAAGTTATTTACCTGTAATCAAAACAATATAGTACTGGAATAAGAATAGGTACAGATCAATGAAATGGAAATTAAGGCCCAGAAATAACCAACATATCAGTGGCCAGTGGATTTTTGACAAGGAATCTGAGTTCATTAAAAGAACAAAAAACAATCTCTTAAAAGATCGTTCTGGGACAACTGGATTTCCACTTGCTAAAGAATGAAATTGGACCCCCCCTCATACCATAAACAAAAATTAGCTCAACATGGATCAGTTATCTAAATATAAGAACTAAAACTGTAAAACTCTTAGAAGAAATAGTATATTTTCATGACCTTGGATTAGGTAAAGAATTTTTAGATAGGACACCAAAAAGGATAGGCAACAAAAGCAAAAATAGATGAATTGGATTTCATCAGAATTAAAAACGTTTGTATACCAGAGGACATTCAAGAAAGTGAAAACACAGCTTATAGAATGGAAGAAAATATTTAAAAATCATATATCCGTTGAGGGTTTAATATCCAAATATATAAGAACTATAACTCAATAACAAACTCAAAAAATGAGCAGAAGCACTTGTAAAACATTTCTCCACAAGAAGATATACAAATGGTCAATAACACATGAAACATAACGTCATAATTAGTCATTAGAGAAATACTAGTTTAAACCTCAAGACAGTTCTTTATACCTACTGTGGTAGCTATAAGCAAAACCACAGAAAATAACCAGTGTTGGTGAGGATTTGGAGAAATTGGAACCCTTGCACACTGCTGGTAGAAATGTAAAATGATATAGCTACCTGGAAAACAGTCTAGTGGTTCCTCAGAATGCTAAATATAGAGTTATCATGTGACCCATTAATTCCACTCCTCTGTATTTATCCAAAATAATTAAAAACAGAGACTCAGACACTTGTCTGGCAGTGTTCGTAGCAGCATTATTCATAATAGCCAAAAAGTGAAAACACCCCAAATGTGTATCAGCACATAAATGGATAAACAAAAGTAGTCTACACACAATGGAGTATTATTCAACATTAAAAAGGGAAATTCTGACATGTTACAACATGGGTAAACTTTAAAACATTATGTTAAGTAAGCCAGACACAAAAGGAAAAATATTGTGTGATTCCACTACATAAAATATCTAGAATAGGTGAATTTATAGAAAGTAGAGTAGAAGTTACCAGGTATAAAGAGGAGGAGGAATCCAGGGAGTTATTGTTTAATGCGGACAGATTTTCAGTTTGGGTCATGAAAAAGTTTTGGAAATGGATAGTGGTGATGGTTGCACATTGTGAATATAATTGATGCCACTGAGTTGTGCACTTAAAAACAGTTAAAATAGTAGATTTTATATTATGTGTTTTTACCACACAATTTAAAGAAGTTATTTAAATACGATTTTAAGAAATAAGATGACGTTGTGTAACTGAAAATTTTACGATACGTAAGTGCCCTGTACAGGTTACAAAGCTGCATCTGATAAAAATGGATTGCCTGCCTGTCCATGGGACACAGCTCATAACAGTGTTTGGCTTGGTTCTCATGAGTCATTCTGTCCTCTAATAAAACATCTCTTAGAGCCAAGACAGTTAAATTTGGCAAACGTTATAGAAAGAAATATGCACACTTGCCACCATAGTCTTTTAAGCATGTTTCTTCCTTCTGTAGCAGTTATTAATTTATTTAAAAAAAAAAATAGGTGCCCAAGGAAATGGTTAAGAAGCCTTTTTTTTTTTTTTGAAGTATTTTAAAGCAACTCATAAACATCATGGTATTTTACTGGTAAATACCCCATTCGACATCTCTAACTGATGATGACTTTATTTCTAACTGAACAACCTGTCCTCTTCCCATCTGATAACACTAATGATGATTTCTTCTTAACATCTTGTATCCAAGTTTTCTTGATTGTCTCAGCAGCAATTATTTATATCAGGATCCACAATTTCATGCATTGCATGTCTGAGTAATTCTTATATATGGTAGTCCCCCTAATCCATGGGCAGTATATTCTAAGACCCCCAGTGGATGCTTGAAACCACAGAGTACCAAACCTTATATATACTATGTTTTTTCTTGTACACATATACTAAAGATAAAGTTTAAACTTTTCTTGCACTTTGGGGCCAGTAAGTAAAATAAGGGTGACTTGAACACAAAAATTGCATTATCATCATGGCCAATCTGATAACTGAGACAGCTGCTGACTAATGGTGGGTAGCGTATATAGATAGCATGGCTACGCTGGACAAAGGGATGACTCAATTCCTGGGCAAGAACAGAGCAGGATGCTCAGGATAGCATGAGATTTCATCACACTGCTCAGAACAGCATGCAATTTAAAAATTATGAATTTTTTATTTCTGAAATTTTTCATTTAACAATTTTGCACCATGGTTGACCACAGGTAACTGAAACCGTGGAAAGCAAAATTGCAGATGATGGGAACTACTATATACCAAAGCTTGGGACCACTGCTTTCTTAGATAGTCTTTTCTCAAAGTTGTTTTCCTCAGCTCATCATCTTTTGGTAAAGGCCTATAGTGCTGTCATCATATATTAATGTTTTCAGACCAATCCAGGTACTTTGGTGTAAGCTGATAATTTATGGGTTACCTATGGGCAAAGTCAGTGTTTCCTTGGGCTTGTTAGCTTTGGGCTTGTTACATATTTTCGGATGAGATGATCAGTCAGGTGTGGCCACAAGAGGAGACACAGGAGAAGCTTAAGGAAAAAAAGCTTATTTATACTCACAGGTCCTAGAGACAAGAGGCACCGCATGTAGGGCCATATGAAGAAGCACCAAGGTGGGCAGGAGGCAGTGGACAAGAGGGAGGGAAAGGCTTAGTCCAGTCCTTTGTTGGAGTTTCTACTAGGAAGTGACCTTCCTTCCCCAGGCCCAATGTTAACACTATGGAGGGTCGCTTGGCAGTGGGATGCAGGGTGTGTAGACAGGAGGGACCAGGGCTGGATGCAGGGGGTGCAGACAGGAGAACCTGTGGCATGTGTTACAGAAGCCCAGGTGAGGTCCTGAACATGGAGATGGCATTGGGGATGGGGAGAGCAAGCAGATGTGAACAGGGTTGGTATGGGAGTTTTCAATAAGAGCTGATGACAGGAACCAAGCCAGTAACATTTCAAACAACTGTGAGCACATTTCCACAGATAACCAGCAGCTAAGGCTAGAAATGGCGTGGGACAAGGGTGTAGGAGACACGTTCTGTACTACAGCAGGGAGTTAGGTGAGATTTACTGACCATACCTTGGTAATAGTGACAAAGCACCAATAACTGAAATTCCAAACTTAAAGAGTGTGGGTAAATATATTTGGAAAAATATTGATGGTTGTTGAAGCTGGTCAGTGGGCATATGGGCTTTGTTGTTATACTGTTCTCTTTGGTGCGTTCTGGAAATTTTTCTAATTAAAGTATAGGGAGGAAAGTATGTACAGATTCATTATTTGCTAGGAGCATGAACAAAGTTTAGGAGGTAGAGCAGTACTGGAGAATGCAAAGGAAGTATTGAGTAGCGATCATAATCATGTATTGACTGTGGAGGGATTGTTAACCTACTGCACATGAGGGGATTTGGGAAAGTACGTTTATGTGTGGAAAATGCAAGAGTCAAGTAGAAACATTACTAGACTCTTATAAGGGTGTTATAAGATAGCTAGATAGAAGATATGCATATGGAAACCAATAACTGACTTCTGCAAAGTCTGTATCAACTGCAAGTGCTAGAGAGAGACTTACTCAAAAGGGCCATTGTAAATGCGAACGACCAGAAATATTCTCAGTCGAAAATGAGATCACACATTATTAGACTTTACTGAGAAACAGATTTGATTATAGGGATAGGAAGATGGTTCTTCCCCAAATTAATTGATAAATTTTTTGGATCCCTACCAGAAGATACTAAATTTCAATGACAGCCATTGCCAGTTAGAAGAATGACTAATGGACAGTTCAATGAAGAGATGAGTAAGGTTGTGGGGATGGGCAGGGTGGCTCAAGGAGCCTCTGAGATCTTCGGGGAGCCCTCCCCAAGACATACGTCCTCACTGTGTTGCAGTTGGGGCAGTGCCTGTCCTTTCCAAAGAGACCATGTCGGGGAAGAAGGGCCACCACTTCAGCCCGGTGAAGACACCACACAACCCTTTGGACTCCAGCGCCCCACTGATGAAGAAAGGGAAGCAAAGGGAGGTTCCCAAGGCCAAGAAACCGACCTCGTTAAAGAAGGTGAAACTGGGCACTAGAAAACCTACGGTGTTACTTTTTCAGCTTAGAGATTTTAGGTTTTCATGTTCTAGAGGATGTGTTCATGATTCTCTGAGAAATGATCCCTCATTCCCCAAGTGAGGTAGCGAGATGTGAGAAACAGGATGGTCTCAGCTGCTGGAGAGGGAAGCCGTTTTTTAAAATACTTTGCAGTGACATGGACAGAAAGCCAGAAATGGGGAGAATTATGTACTCATTTTTTGTCACCCTCATCCTACCCAAGGTGATCTGTTTGCTGTTCAGATTCGGTGAATATTGGATGCTTCTTGGCAGACATTTCATTAATGTTGTCACACACGTTCTTTCATTTAATTCTCAGCAGCCTGTGGTGTGTGGTCAGTCTCAGGTGGGGAAGGAGTGTCTTGCCTGGGGCCAGCTGACTGTCAAGCTGCACGGTCGCAATAGAGCCCAGGTTGTGCATACCCTGGTCCGCACCTGGGGGGATGCGTTACTGCAGAGTCCTGTTGCCACTGTGAGGGGATGGATGGGCACACTGCCAGTAAGCTGACATTGGGTGGCTTATTTTGCAGAGGAGTTATTTTTAAGTACCAGTATTTAGTTATTTTAATCATTTATTCAATTTTAAAGATTATCTTGAAAGAACGGCAGGAGAGAAAGCAGCAGCGTCTCCAAGAAAATGCTGTGAGCTCAGCTTTTACTAGTGACGATGTGCAAGATGTAGAGAGCAGTGGTGATGACCTGACCCTTGAGCAAGGTGAGCCTTTAGGTTGCTTCTTAAGGAATCCCTCAGTGAGGGCAGCTGTGTGCAGCCAACTGTCCAGAGGTCTGCCAATCCCTGACCCCTTTGTTATAAAAGCAAGTCAGTATTGACCCCCAAGAACACAGATGTTTTCAGACTCCCTGCTTGACAGGTAAGAGAGTGTCCCCATGGATGATGGGGCTTCTGGTGCCTCTGTTCCTGGGGGTCTCTCAGGATTAGGAGATGAGGCCCCTGAATTTGATCTGTGCGGCACTGGTTGGTTTTCACGACTTGAAGTAGCTATGAGAATTAACCCCATTAACTGGGGAGCTGCTTTCCTATGAGTGTGTGAGACATGGTATCATAAAAAAAGTGTTTAGTAAACTTTATTAAATGGTACATTCAGAAGAATACACAAATCATAAGCAGATAGCTTGAGGACTTTTCACAAAGTAAACACAGCACTAACTTCAGGAACAGAGCAGCGTCAACAGTTTCCCTTGCCCTGGCCACCTAAGGCCTATCCCCGACTACAGCCTCACAGATGAACCTTTGGGTTTCATTCGCTGGGCATCATGTATCAGGTGCCACTCTGGCCAGTAGTATGTCTGTAGCCCCTCAGGGCAGTTCCCGATTGTCATTACTGCACAGCGTCCAGGTGTATTAACATGCCAAGTGATGGGCCATTCGTGGAGCCTTCACTTTGGGACCATTAGATGCTGAGTCTCTGCGGCAGTGTGGTGTGTGTGTGTGCAGAGAATGTGAGCACTTCCTCCTGGCATTTCCTCAGGTAGATCACAGGCTCTGGTCCACTGCCATCCAGCCTTGGAGACTCCTGCCAGACAGGCTTCCAGGTGTGTTACCAGTTCTGCCCACTGGCGGGGAGAGGCCAACTCAAGGGACATTGTTTTTACCATGTCTGCCATCCTGGCAGATGTGTTGTGCACTCTCAAATTCCTTCTCTGGTGAGCTGGTACCTCACTTGAACTCTAAAAGTCTCTAGAAAGAATTTTTGGGGAACATAGCAATTACTGAATGTTGTGTGATGTGTTTAAACATACCCCTAAACTTACATAGTTTAGATATTTGAGTTCAGCTCTTATTTAAGGATTATTTGATAAAGGAATAGTCTCAAGCATTTAAGTGCAAAAAAATTCAGAAATAAAAATCTGCTTTTAAAACTTCCTGATAGGAACTTAAGATTAAATTTCAAATTAAAAAATAAATTCAGCCACTGACCTATGTACTTAAAAATGGTTAAAATGGTAAGTTTCATAAATATTTTGCCACAATAAAAATAACCAAATTGGGGTCAGGAAGGTACCTCCAGGCCGAACAGAAAGTTGCCAGGTTCTTCTGTTTTTCCCAAGCCATTCCCATCACTCCATTGCCTACTGTGATGCTCAGCAGCGGTGTCTGAGTGTGGCTAGTGTGGGCCGCATCTGGCTGCCCTGGTGACACTGCTCTGCGAGGCGCCTTGGGGCATCCTTCTCACCCCTAGTCCTGCAGATTCTGTGCCATGACTTTTTCTGTGAAGCTCCAGGGGAAGCAGAAGCGTCACTGTGCTCCGCTCGTGAGAGCAAGTCAGAAGAGCCACTGGGAGCTGAGATTCATAAGGAGGCGGAGACCTACCACCTGGGCCCTGATGGCACTGGCTGCCCCAAGATCCACAGCCGGAGATTCAGGGAGTGAGTGAACCCAAAGAGGACTGGGGGCGGCTGTGCTTGCTCTGGATTTGGGCACGGAGTTCTACCACCCTGATGTGCTCAGACCAGAAAGCCAGGAGGCTGGGCCCAGGGTTTTCATTCTCCTGGTGAAGGTGGCCAGGACCTAGTTATACTGCATGTCAGAGTCATTGAATCTGCTTCTTTGAGGTCTCTCGTCCTACTGACGTGATGGCAGAAGTGCCCATAAATCCAGATTTTTGGTTGCGGGGAATGGGTGTTGAGTGACAGCAAGTGACATCTAGGTTCCATTGCGTTGTTTGATTTCTCTGCATGATTTCTTAGGAAGCTCTGCCCCCTCCCCTCCCACTTTTCTTCCAGGGCAGACTCTCCAGATGTTTTCACAAGGGAAGGTGCATGTGGAATGGCTGACATGCAGGAATCACTTAGCAAGCCGTGGTGGAGGGTGGGGCAAAGAGGTTTTATACTTTGTAGGTGACAGAGGGGGAAGGTGCTTTGATCCTTAACTTCAGTTAAGTCCAGCCTGTCAGAAACCCCACTTTTGATTAGTATTGCTCATCAAAGTGTGATTTCTTGAGGGGGCCATGCCATTTCCCTCTCTAATCTGAGGTGTGAAGGGAGCAGCACTGCAGTAGCACAGCCAGTGGAAAGCTGATGGCATCTGATGTTTCTTTTAGTTACTGCAGCCAGGTGCTCAGTAAAGAAGTTGATGCCTGTGTTATGGATCTGCTGAAAGAGCTGGTCCGTTTCCAAGACCGTATGTACCAGAAAGATCCCATCAAGGCCAAGACCAAACGCCGGCTTGTGCTGGGGCTGAGAGAGGTGCTCAAACATCTGAGGCTCAGAAAGCTGAAGTGCGTCATCATCTCTCCCAACTGTGAGAAGATACAGTCGAAAGGTAACAGCACCGTGTTGTCCCTGGTATGTGGCCCACCATGCCCTGGTCACCAGCCAGGCCTCAGCAGTGCAGTTGGTTTTCTCTTTTTTTTTTTTTCAATTGAATAATTTGTTTGCAGAGTTCATTTGCACCTCACATGCCTTACTCTGTGAGGCGGCCAGGTCCCTGCAGGCCTCTGGCAGCAGGAAAGAATGTATGTTTGTCATGCAGTGTGCTGGGCAGTTTGCTTTCGAGCTAGGGAGCTCACTGGTTACTCACACCATAGAGGGTTTGTGACTGGCAGCCAGACAGTCCCCTCATTGGGCTTTTGTTCATTTTAAATTCTCTTATTCCATCTGTGACTAACTCCTGTGTCCACATTAAAGTTGTGGGTTTGTCCAAGCACTTGGCCATGTTAGTGATGCCAGAAGGTTGGTTCTGTTTTGTGGTATGTGAAGTGCTGAGTGAGGTGATTGACGAACTCCTGTCTGTAACCTATCTCCAGTGTCCCTCAGCTTGTCCATTTTGTCTTCCTCAGGCTGCACAGTAGAGTAATTGGTGGTTAGGTGTAGAATGCCATCTCATATACCTCCATCTGCATCTGGACATTTATATTTCTCCCCTAGTCCCATTCCTTTCTCCCAGGGTATAAAATTCAACTTGGTGGAATTGCCCGTGTTGGTAACTAGTCTAGATCCTACACCGAGCTTTCACTTGCTATTTTGCATCTGAGGACTTGAGGATTCCTGACTTGTCTGTAGCTCCCAGGGACCTAAGAACAATGGCCCTGCTCATTGCCAGCCCAGCAAGCCCCACCCATTCTAGCCCATGGCAGGTCCAGTCTCAGCTGGCCAGAAACAGACAGCAAAGGGGTTTTAGGAACCTGCCTGCTTGATTGCATTCTGGCAGCGCCCCTACCACAGTCCTGGGGCAGGCATTGGGCCTAACAGTAGTCACTCCTCAAGCTCTCTGCCAGCTACTGGAACCCCATAAGACAGTTGCTGTATCAGGCATTCTGTGGCTTCGTCTTCTAAAAATCATTCTGGGCTCTCTGCACCACTTGTGTCCATGTCATCCTGGGAACATTCTCCCCTCCTGTTGAGTGTGGTATTTTTTTGGCTCCTTCTTTGCTCCCTTGTCCCAGGCCTACCTTGTTAGCTTGAGCACATCCTCAGTGGCTTATGCAGAAGTGGTGTTAGGGTTGGGGGTATGCCATCTGGGAAATGGTGCTTGAAATCCAGTCTTTCTGCTTCTTGACTTTTTCTCCTGGTCTCTGGAAACTTAGGAGAACATCCTTGTGCCAGGGTTCCAGGAGGTGGCACAGTTTGCATCAGCACCCTCAGGTCCGGGGTATCCTTTTGGGTTTGTGCTTGGAATCCCTTTCCCTCCACTTCTCTGTCAGCTCCTCCTGAAGTCCCTTTGCTCAGATGCTGGGCCTCTGGCACTGTGCTCTATTGTTACTTTTCTCTTTTTTTTACCCCTCTTTTTTTGATTCTGTTTTCTAAACTTTCTATAGGATTTTTATTTCTGCAGTTTTTAAATTCTGGGAGCTGTTTTTGTTGTTCTCTGAAGATTACGTGTTTGTCACAGCTGAGGTTGCTTTGTGGGTGTGTTATCTCTCTGGGGACGTGGAGCTCCCTTCTCCCTGTGTATCGTCCCTTTCCTCCAGGTGGTTTGCGTTTGGTCTCATGGTGGAGGTTTCCTTGGCTGTCAGTTTGTCTTTAACAGCTGCTCAGAAGCTGACTAGAAATCTGGGGTGAGGAGGGCTGACATTTAAAGGTTGTGAGCTGTGTCAGAGGTCAGTGGTTCTCGAACTGTAGTGAACATCAGTCACCCAGAAGCTGGTTTCTGCCTGTGTAAGTCCATAGGTCCCCTGAATTTGCATTTCTAGCAAGTTCTTGGGCAATGATGCTGCTCCAAGGATCCAGTTTAAGAATCTCTGCTATAGGATGACTAACTGGTCAGGCTGTTACTGAGTTGGAAGGTGACCTGAAGGGTGTCTCTCTGACTCCTCTGGGGCTCATCACACTCCCTGGTGAAGGAAGACGCTTCCATCTCCTATGAAGGAAGAGTGCTGGGGCCTTGACTTCCTGCCGGTGAGCTTGTCCTCACAAACACGATAAGAGGTGAAATGCACAGTGTTCCGCAGACCTGCCACTTTACTTCACTGGAGGGCCAGCGCCTGGGCATTGGCTGGGTGATATGGGTCTGGACACTGACTTGCTATCATCAGTCTTCCTCATCTGTACTTCATCTTGTTTCTGAAGGTGTCCACCTAGTGAGGACAGTTGGTGAACTCTGGGGAGTTAGTTCTAGGGTATACATGAATGGTTCTTATCTATGCTTTTCCTCACTGTTGGCTGAGGTCACCTAGGTCAGTTGTGCATTTGCACTTCAACTTCCAAATATTGTTTTGCTCTGGTCTCACATTCTTAACATGGATTTGCATCTTTAAAAAACAAACAAAAAAATGGGATGTATGTGTTCAGTCGATAGTTCCGTTTTCTGACTGCCAGAAAACTGAGTTAAGAATTTACCAATAGGCATCTTGAGGATTTGTTATGCATTTAAAATATGTTGTGTAATCATCACTTTCTACATTTATTCGCTTTGGGGCATGGGGATGTTGAATATATGTCTTATAAATTTCTTCTTTGGAAAAGATAGCCAATGACTTGTAACATTTTAAAGGTAAAATTCAGTATTATAGCTATAGACTGTGTTAAAGTACTGCATTTGCTCAGAGTGGCCTTTTACCTAATAATTCTGAACTTAAATTTTTCAGTGGGAATTGTGTATGTGAGTGTTTTGCCTGTTCTAAATTATCTCATGGAACTTTGAGAGTTGGCACTTGGAAATGCTTTCAGCTCTCACTGACTTTGGCTAGGAGGTCAGTTGAACAAAACCATTGACTTGGCTGCTGTGTTGAGGTTTTCAAGCCTACCTCTGCTCAGTAATGAACCAGGAAGACTCTCAGTTCGTAGAACTGTCCTCGCAGTTGTGATTTATTGCAGTGGAAGGAAGCAGTGCAATCAAATGAGGGAAAGGCATGTGGTGTGAAGCCAGGGGAACCAGGCACATGCTTTTAGTCTTCTCTCAGAGGAGTCATCTTTAAAAAACAAACAAAAAAAATAGGTATATATGTATTCAGTTGACAGTCTTCTTCTCTGTGCCAGAGAACTGAACTAAGATTTTACTAATAGGCATCTTAAGAATTGGTTATACATTTAAAATATGTTGCATAATCTGTAACAACACGTGTGAGTGTTGTCTATAGCGAATCTCTGGAGAGACTCAGTGCCTGGAATAATTACTGGGGTCGGTCACATGGGCACCCTCTGCCTGGCATGTAGCAAAGTTCCAGAATCACAGAAGTTTGTCGTCCTCAGCAGAAACCTCACTGTTCTCACAAGCAGTGTAGGTACAGTAGCCACTCTGATCAGATAGGGTGGTAGGAGCCATCCGAAAACAGAATTTCTGTTGCCAGCCTAGGGCCAACCACATAAGCAGGCCTTTCTAAAGACAGCAGCAGTCAAGCCTGCTGGGTTAGCTCTTTTCTACATACTGCTGAAATAGCTTTTGTGATCAACCCCAGGGCTGGGGTGGACGTGAGGCAGAGAGAGATCTTAGAGTGAGAGACAATTTGGTCAGTCTCTGGTGGTGAGTTGTAATATCTCAAACACATCCATCACCACACCTCTCCACTTCTCCCCTTTTCCCAGCCTGACCAGCACTGGTGTTTTTCTTTGAAGTTTATGTCCCCAGAAGTTGCTTCCTCATCACTTCCCTTATTCTTCACATAGATCTGGAGCACAGGTGGGCAAATTAAGGGATGTGGGGCTTAAAATCAACTCCCAGTCACACCAGCTGCAGAATGAGTTTTCAGTTCCCACAGAGCAACGGTGGTGGGGAATGTGCATTTGAGAAGTTCTTCTGTTGAAAGAAATAATCATAATCATATAATTAGTCATGTATATGTTGTGCATTCCTTCTGGGAGTTGGTCTGAATGCAGAACTGCAGCAGTGGGACAAATGCTGTGACTTCCTTCCAGATGCTAGGTTAAAAGAGGTTACCATGCCAGGGTGAGATCCATGGCTTTATTACTTTATTTTGAGGAGTAAACCCCCCAAATTCCATCAGCTGCTCACAGGCAGCCAGTGTTGCCAGCTTTTTATTTATCATCTATAGTCCATGCATGTATATGAACGCTGTATGTGTTCTGGCCTCCTGGACCCCCTGTGTACCTTGCTTTATAGCGTGTCTCGGGATCCTTCTGTTTACACCGGTGCGTACAGATTGTGTTGCTCTTAAAGGGCTGCACTGTCCCAAACTGATGGGCACATCAGTTATTTTCAGACTTCACACCTGTCATTGAGGCCACACACTGTGGTTTATTTGTGTGAACATCTCTGTAGGTTCCATACTGAGAATGGAAGGGCGCATGTATACGTGTAACATTAATGCTATGCCACCACCTCCAGAGACTCCATGGCCCCCACAGGTGACGTGGGTCCCCTCCTTGCTCCCTTGCCCCATGGGGAGACTGTATTAGCATTTGACTTTGGAAGGAGGTTGAGCACTGTTTCACTGTTTAAGAGCGTGGTATTTTCTGTAAACTGTTGGTTTATATCTTTTGCTTGTTTGTCTTGGGATATTGATCTTTTTTATATTGATATTACTTTTTTTTTTTAATAACAAGAAAGTTAGCCCTTTGGGTAAGAGTGGTAAATGTTTTTCTAGTTTGTCCACAGCCTGTTTTCACTTTTTTTTTTTGGCTGTGTGGGGACTAGGTGTGTATACATTGTGGGGAGGGGAGGTTAACATAAACAAATAATTTATTTGTAATACGGCCCAGTTCCCATCACTTCAGTATAGCATAGGAGTAGAAAAGAGTCACACTGCAAGCATCATGTAGCCCAACGTAGAGCCCCATGCCTCCCAAGACAGCAAGCCCATCTTTCCTCCAGATCCATGGCTAGAGCCAAATTGAACTCTACACAAACAGGCAAGCCCAGAATGAAGTAAGCCCCAGGCCTCAGCATGTTTCACCCTTCCCCTGTGCCTCCTCAACCTTCCTAACAGCAGCCTTCTTACCCCTTCTACCCCTGTTGAGGCCAACTCCTACTCTGAGCCACCAGAGCTTTCTCTGTAATTAACAGGGGTGAAAGTGTTATATGGAACAAAGTACCCTGTGAAGTCTGTTCCACAGAAAGTTTAAAATGCCTCCCCATACATAATCCTAATCATATATAGCTATTTTTTATTATATTTTTATCACATCTAGGTTACGTCAGTTTTTGATCTTCCCATTCCAAGGTGATAAAAGTTTAATTTTTTTTTCCCCCTATTTTCATGTTTATTTGTTTAGGTAGCATATATTTCAGTCTAAAATGGACCTTTCCAGAGGGTGACCCAGTTGTCCCTTCTCTGTTGTGGAAATGCACTTCCACATGCTCAAGCTCCCTGAGTATTTGGGTCATTTCTAGACCCTCTGTTCTGTCACTCTGCATCCTCTTGTTTACATTCTTGTTGGTTTATAGCACACTTTAATGTCTGATGATGCTAGCCTGATATTTTCTTTTTTCAAAAGATTATTTTTTACTCGTATATTTTTTCATATTTTTTATTTCAAGAAAAATCCCATTTGCAGTAAGTTATAGTATTTTAAAGTTTTAGGGTAATGTAGTAGTGACATTTTATCATTTTTGATTGTCCTGACCAAGAGTAGAAATGATGTTTGTTTGTTTATATTTTCTATTGTTTTAATAGCATGTTGAAGTTGCTCTGTAAATCTGTCATATTTCCTGATAAATTAATTCCTACCTGTTTTAAACTTTGGTTGCTGTCGTGAGTGGAATCATTTCTGTTCTAGCTGGCTGCTGCTTGCATGTGTGCAGACCAGTGGTTTCTGTGTTACTTCTGCAGAGACTCCCTTATGTAATTCTCTTGTTGGTAGTAATTCTTTTGTGCTGTTGTGTTTCTGGCTTGGCAGGCACATCCCCTGCACACAGAGGTCCTTCACCCCTTCTTTTTGCTCACAGTACCTCTCCCAGCTCTCCCTGAGCACTGGCCCTGGCTAATGGCCAAGCTGAGAGTCCGGGCTGGTGGTGGAGGGCCGTGAGCCCGCATGTGGTCATATTGAAGGGGCTGGGATGCTTGGTGGCCTCTCTGCTCCAGATTTCCATCTGTAAGTGGGGTCTCACCTCCCCCTTTCAGGGTTTTTATGAGGATACAGGAGCTAACATGTGAGGCAGTTAGACCAGTGACCTTGCATCTAGGCAGTTAGACCAGTGGCCTTGCATTCAGTAAGTATTTGCTAAGACTTCGTTAGGCATAACACCAGCTGTTGACTTGACATAGATATATTTCATTACGCTAAGGAAGTGACTGTTTTGGAGAGTGATTTCTTCCATGTGACTGAGAAGAACAGTGTACTTGCACTGCATGACCTGCTTTCTTCAAGTGACATCTGGTACAGGCCACTAATTGGAGTAAAGAAGGTAGCTTGGGTATGTTGTTGCCCATAGAAAAAAAGCCCTTTGCAACCAGTGTCCGCACCATGCCCCATGTGACATGTTTCCCTGTCGTTTCCCTTGTCCTCGGACAGGTGGGCTGGATGACACCCTGCACACCATTATCGATTACGCCTGCAAGCAGGACATTCCCTTCGTGTTTGCTCTCAACCGCAAAGCTCTGGGGCGCAGTTTGAACAAAGCTGTTCCTGTCAGCGTGGTGGGGATCTTCAGCTATGATGGGGCCCAAGTGAGTGGGGAGGGGCTCCAGGAGGGTGCCATTGTGGTTTGCAGTAGACCCATGTCCTCTTTGGTCAAGAGACATCACCTGTGCTCTTCTGCCCAAGGACCAGTTTCACAAGATGGTCGAGCTGACAGTGGCAGCACGGCAGGCGTACAAGACCATGCTGGAGAATGTGCGCCAGGAGCTGGCGGGAGAGCCTGGTCCCCAGACTTCTGTTGAGCTGCCTGCGCAGGGCCCCAGCTGCTCTGCAGAAGACAGCTCCCCAGCTCCCTCTAAAACAGAAGAGCCACACTACAGTGAGTGCCGGGGAGGGTCTAAGTCTGGGTTGAGTGTCGTACAAGTCAAGTCTTTATGGACTTTGATTAAAAAGTGACCAGAAGAGCAGCAGAGCCACCCCACAGCAGCGTAGGCTGCAGAAGGCCTGGTTATATCCTGGCCGTTGTCTTAAGAGGTGTTCTTAGACCTGGAGATTTGTGAGGCCTTCTCAGTGAGTGTCTCAGACACACCTTGGGTCAGATGACCCCTGGAGAGAGGGTGACCTCAGGACAACTGTATTCCTAGGGAGGTTGTCAGGGTCAGCAAGCACCAAGGTGTGATTGACGCTGCTTGCAA